GTTCAGTGGGAGTACGGAGGTAAAGAGCAGCCCAACAATTTTTAGACAAAGTTTGATCGATTTATGAAAAGGTTGATGTGTGTTTGTCTCTGCATTAAATGAACTAAATTGAGCAGTTAGTTCCTTCTGTTGTGTGTAAATGGATTGTGCTAACACCTACCTCTGTAAAAGTTTTCCTACAAGTAGGAAAGTCTCTGCTGCTCTGGAGTTTTCTAAAATGTGCCATTTACTTCATCTTGCAGCTACAGAATTACTAGCAGATGACCAGTGTGTGATAAAACTGTTAAAGGGTTTATGCCTCAAGCATTTGGGCAAGATCTCAGAAGCAGAAGACCATTTTAATTACATCTATTTAAAGTAAGTTTTCATACCAGTCATATAGGAGAGCTTTCGAATTTCTCAGTAACTATTCATTTCAAGTAAGAGGAGGTCTAACCATGATATGAATAGAAGGGAGGGGACTGCAGTATCTTTAATACTTATTGCTTTGATATCAAGGAATTACAATTTTAATTGCCAGTGTTGTTAGCCATGTATGGAAAACCAATTGCAAATCTGCACTTTTTGCTGAGATAGTTTCTCCTTTTTGGGGACTATACATGAAAAATCGTTTGAGATACCACTTCCCTCTTTTCCCCCCTTTGTCTTATCAGTCATGAAGAAGCTGTACCCAAAAAGCCAAATGCAGTCAGCAGATACAGATGGCAGCACGATTATAGTTGGAACTTCTACACATCATACGGTGAATGGCATCTCTTTTTGCCAATTCACATGGATAGAGCTCATAATATTGTCATCTTTTCTAATAATTCCCTGATAATAAAAGCAATGTTTTGTAATCCTGAGAAATAACGTACTATGTAGGATGGTTATGCAAAATATGCATTTAATAACCTGGAATGTAGCTTTGGATAGAGAATATGACAAGTGTTGTAATAGAGATTGATTGCTCCTTCTGATCTTAGCTAATCTCCTATTTATTTGTGTTTGGAGCTGTTAAATGAAGGAAACAATATATCATTTCAAGAGCTTGAGGTTCTTTCTTTTCCAACGCAGTGAGAAGAAGATAAAATATGACCACTATCTGATTCCAAATGCCTTACTGGAGCTGGCGATACTGTATCTAGACCAGGATAGAAGAGAAGACGCAATAAAACTACTGGAAAGAGCAAAGTAAGCAAGTGAAAAGCCTGTGGCTGACGTCTGATGGGTCAGTATGGTATTTTACTGGCTAGCAGGAAGCAGAAACATTTCATTAATACCATGGAAACTCATTGTTAAATTTATTCAACAGAAGCACACATGCACGAGTTTTCGTTTGGACCTTTCTAATGGTAGACATTATCTGATCGTTCAGTCTGTGACTTACCCATCCATTTTGGGAAGAGAAAAAAAATTTTAAATTGAATTAATGAATGTCAGAGGCTTCCTAAGAAAGCTAGCAAAACAGCTGGCAGTGCTATTTTCTTTCCTTGATGGAATACGTTTAAGAAAATGCTTCAGGTTGCATTTAGTACCTTTATACTGTTTCATCTGCAGCTGAAAGGCAACTAAAACACCTGGTTTTATTTTTTTGTGTGATGGATTTTTCTAGCAAAGTAGGTTTGTGAGGGCTAGTGGGACTTGATCATGTACTTTCTTTAGTATAAAATTAACAAAATACGTTTTTTGCCTCTGCCCAAGCCTTTACTTTGCTGCTGAGCCAAAGTTTCTTGCGGGGGGCGGGGTAGGAGAGGGAATCCAAACCAAACAACGCTTGCACTCTTCAAGCATCCTGCAGCAGGGTACTTCACCTCTCTGCCTGGATCCTGAATGAGTCCAGATGTCTGCATTTTTCCAAGCGCAGAGAGTCACGCCAGTCACCGCTGCAAGCCTGAGCAGCTACAAAACTGATGTCTGGCCTCAAGTTTGAAAGAGGTCAGATAGAGTTTTTGGGTTGAGCTTTTGTCCAAGTCAGTCCACTGTGCAAGACAGAGTGGTGAATCAGCCTACTGAAGATTATGCCAAAAGCCTGTCAACAGAAAAATTAAAATACTGCAATTCTTAATCTCCTATGCTTTGTAAGCCTGGTTCTCTGTAGACTCATGGAAGGTATTAAGAGCAGCAAAAATTGCATTAGCAAAACGCAATGGAAAATATTTCAGTTGGTTTCACATTCCTCAAAGCACGCCTCTCCTCTTGTTCTCATTTCCTTTGCTCAAATCTCTCTTGAGAAGCGATCCAGAAATTAATGATTCAGAGCTGCTCATTCCATCTGGTACTTCTATCGCTTGCTGCTCAGGCGTTGCACCTTTCCCCAGGTGCCTCAGGTTGCAGGCCCCCTCGAGGGAAGGTGTTCAGCTTAAAGAACAGCACCAGCAGCTCTTAAAAATTTGTTGTTATCCAGTATATGGAAAGCTAATACTCAGACTTGCTATGCTCAAAGAACTCATGGAAACTGTAATGATATGAAAAAAAAACCCCAACCAACCAAACCAACTTGTTTCAGTCAGTCATAAAAAAACCTGCAGTCCTTACATTTCCACCCTGCCTTGAAATTGCTCAGGGTTTATAAGCTTTCAACTAAAAATGCTGAATGACTTTGCAGCCACTAGAGGGGGAACACATTGTCCGTGGTGGGTTTCAGGGCTGCAGAATTAACGTTTGCAATCAGCTGGAGTGCAGACGAGCACTTTGCTCATGCAGGACGCTTGATTTGCTTGACCTAAATCCACGTACTGCTGCTGGCTTGAATGTCTCAATTCTGTGAGAAAAAGTGGAATGAGATGATAAACAGTTTTGGCTTGGTCATGCGTGGAAATATTTCTATTTGTATTAGCGCAAGCTACAAGCGAGACTATCAGCCTACTGATGAGAAATACAGTATCTGCATGACAAAATGTACTTAATTTAAAGAAAAAACTCGAAGAGTTTCAGATCAGCATACAGCACAACCCAGTCATCTCCTTTTCTCATTCAGCCTCTTGGGTGTTGCATGCATATTACAAGCTGGTATAGGATGGGTGTGGAAATCCTTGTTTTCACAAAGACTGCCACGCTTCCATGCTTGATTTGAATTACGAATTTTGAACTGAAATGCATTTAAGGTATACAGCCTGTTTAATACTTAACGTTATGTTTCTGTAAAGATGACAAATATCTTAGAAAAGAAAATTAGCGTGGTCTAATCCTCTTTGGTGTCTGGATTCTGTATCCATCCTGCAAGAGCTGACATGCTAATTCCTATTAAGTCGGATCTGCATTTTCTATGTGGTCCTAGGGGCAAAATTTCTTTTTTTATATAAGCTTTTCCATCAAAATACAGATTCTTTTAATGTTTCTGTAGCTCGTTACAGCATGACATAGCTACTGGAGACTACAGGCAGATGACACTGCTGAGTCAGCCGCTAGATGTTTGTGGGGGAAGTCCTGGCCAGTCTTTCCCCGGGCTGGTGAATTGCTCCTCGAAAGCTAATACAGAGTCTCGTGTGTGCCCACTTTCTGTTTCCGAGCTTCAAGGGCAGCAAATTGTCTGGCCTTTTTTCCTACACGCAGTACACATAGTTGACAACCACGGGATGCAGATGGGGTGTTTCCCTCTTCTGGTTCAGGACGGCACCTCTCTCTTTCTCTTTCTTTTCTTTTTTTTATCTTTTCTCTATTTCCTCGAAATGTGTCTGCTGAATTAAGATGAGTCTGTTTTATTAAAATGAGGAAAAAAAAAATCCTGAAAATGTTTGTATTCAAATTTGTCAGTTATACTTTGAGAGGAGAAAAGAAATCCAATTTCTGAATGTAAGCTAAGTGAATGTTATAGATATTTAATGTGAACTCAATATTTTGATTGAGTGGAACAGATTCAATTTCTTATTAAGCTATATTTTTCTGGTAGTTGCCAGACAGTGGAACTATAAATAAAGAACAAAGAGCTGCATTGTTTAGCTAGGAACACATGCCTTGTATTTTAGAGTAGGCAACAAAGGAGCTTCTGAAGAAAGGCTTTTTTGCTGTCTACAGTTGTTTTGCTTAGAACAATAATATAAAGATAACTTGAAAATGCTTTAAAAACATATATTGATCAGAGTGAATCTGCTTTTGTTTTAGACAAAACTACAAGAATTACTCCATGGAAACAAGAACACATTTCAGAATTCAAGCTGCCCTGCACCAAGCCAAATCCGTCCCAGAAAACGGAATGCACTCTGGAGCCTCAGCAGTGTCGTAACTTTTTCTTCTTTGATGTCCTCTCTGTTGCAAACTTTGGTGCAGAAAATTACTGACACTTTAGAATTATTTTTCCTTCTCTTTCAAGTCAGTGAGAAACCAAATCAACTTTAAAGGTGATGCATAAAACATTAATCTACTGTAATAACATGGCAAAAAACCTCTCAAACCAACCATAACCCTGAAAAATACTGTTTTTCCAACAGTGGCTTTTTGAATACTTACATCTGTGTAGTTTGTTTTTCAATCATGTGTGCCTTTTTTATTGCGTTTGCAACATTTACTAAGCAAGCTACAACATAAAGGGGAACAACTGAAAAAAACCAACAACAAAATTTTAAAGACTCACAGATTTAATCTCAGTTAGCTATAAATGTTTGCTTGAATTCATACTGCTAGCAGTTGAGAAGGAAGCATCACTTTTTCCAAGTACCTACTTAGCTGAAATGGTGTGAGAAAAATCTCTGTGCGCAAGAAACACAGCAGGGAGGAGCTCTGAATCCTGGGCGTTGCAGTTGTGCATAGAAAGCTTCTTTCTACCAGCTTTTACTTGTCAAATTTTTGCTTCTATAAGAAACTTGCTGGTGAAAAAATTGGTCTCCCTTATGCAAGTATCTTGACTTTAATTTGGTTTTCATGTTGAGTCTGCTGCTCTTAGGGGCTGATTTGAAGTTTATATCACATTTAACGCTCAAGTCCTTGAAGGTCACTTAACCAGCAATATTGCTCTGGCTGCACAGCAATATAGAGTTACTGTGACAGTCAGTGCCTTCTTAAAACCATTGTTCTTAGGTTTGCCTAGCTTGAGATGTCCATAAAGAGATCGCATGGCCACGTCTCCTGTGTTAGGAAGCCGGGGTTGGAGCAAGCTGTCTTGGCACAGTGCTCTCCTTTTCACAAAGGAGAGCCCTTTATCTTTTTGCTCTTTATTGATCTTTTGGGGGGATTTCTGTGTAAGGGGCTTTGAGAATAGAGCAAAGAGCTAGCTCTGCTTTCCTATGCTGTCTGCCATAGAATTGCTGCTTTTCTGCAAAACTGGTCAAGTCAGATGTAACGTGTATTTGTCTCTTATTTACCGTTCTCCAGGCTAGCTCCATGTTTGTATGCCTGTGGTTTTTTGGGGCACACTTCTACCTCCCTTTTGAAAGAGCCTTTTCCCCCACTGATACATAGAGATGGGAGGTCTTCTGACAGCCCTTTTTCTCCAATGGAGATGTTTGTCAGGAAGATTCATATCGATGTACCTCACCGTGAATGTTCTTTCTAAAATGGTTTTTCCCAGCAGAAGAGAAAATTGATAGTTTATAGCTCTGGTTTTACCTCCTCTAAGGAAAGGACATTGTTTTATAATTGCAAATTAATATGCAAGGAGACAGAACCACCTGTTCCTCAGCACAGAGAACTTGCATTGTCATAAAAATAGACACCCTTTGTAAAAGTCTTCCCAAGTTAAAATCATAGGTGAAGAATGCATTTTTTTTAAAGTGACTTTCTCAGATAAATTCAGTTCAGATAAATTTCTCAATTCGGATAAAATTCAGTAGAAACAGTTATGCTATTTACATATTGCACATCAAAACTTAAATGTAAAAATTCAGCCATTCTTTGTATAGAATAAAAAAGATTCTTGTTCTATTTCATGCATATAACGCCTCTTCTTCCAGTTGTGTCCTTCACAAATATTTTTGCAGTCTTAGCATCTTTTAAGCAAGCAATGCCATGAAAATTAGCATAAACTGTACTTTGCAGAAAGTGAACAATCCTTCCAACTGTAGATTCATCTCTCAAGGCCACTGAAACACTCTTTGAAATTTCACCCACAGCTCAGTTCTGCCTGATCTTGGATACATTGCACAAAGGTCATACTGTGCAACATGCAGTCAACTTCACTGATGCTTTTCAGTGATGAAAACCCCGAGATTTTCATAGTCATCTTTGGTCGAGCACAAACACCAGTCGTATCATGGACCTGATCTCCAGCTTCAGCTGAGGGCTTTGTAGTTAGCCACAATCAAGTAGTCCATGCTTTCACTCTGACTTTTTAGCTCCCAATCAACAGGAAATACTCACCTTCCTGATGCAACAACAAAGGTTTATGGACTGTAATATTCTGAACTCACTGAAGGAAACCTTGCTTGCTAAAGGATGAATGGAAGGTTGGTGCATTGTCGCTGTATATATTTTTCAGTGTGTTACATTTTGAATTGCCCACCGTTACTCTTTGTTCATCAGTATACTTCATTTTGATTCTCTTCTGTGACTAGGGATCAAAAACTCAGTGGTGTCGTTCTGGCCTGGAAGGTCTGTGCTGGGATTGTTTTTCCATTGCTGCATCCGAAGCTGCTGCGTTCTGCCTGAAGCAGCTCTCCAGAATGGTAAATCGCTTCATCAATCTGGAGTCCCAAGGACAGTGAATTAGGGAAAGCACAATTGGTACGAGTTCTCAAACAGCTTCAGCGTTCAGTATATTCACCTACCAGAAAATAGCAGATCCTCTTAATGGAATCACAACTCAAGGATTTTCAGCATGGCATAAGATTCAGGAAACGTAAGTATGTCTTCAGAGGCAACACCTCATTTGCAGCAGGATCACTTCCTTCTGCTTTCAAACGCTACACTGACTAAGCTGGAGAAACCCACTCTGTGTACTAGGCTTTAGCCAACAACTGCTGGTATCGACTCTTCTCAGTCCTCAGCAAAGCCAGAGAAGTTAACCAAAGGCAAGCTACTAACTCAAATAGCAGAAGGGAGTTTTCTGCACTTGGTGGGACGTTTATCATAAAACTTAAAAACTATTTCTATGTACTTTTTTTTTTTTTAGTAGCACTGATAAGTGGTTTCCTGCCAGTAGCCAAGGAGGGGTAGAAATTCATACTCAGTTTCCTGGGTGTCTGCAAGCAGTTGCCATGGGGCCCTGTGTGATGGTGCTATGCCACCTGAAGGGGGTAGTGGTCAGGAAGGGAAAAGCAGTAAAATGAGCATCACTTTTATCATTACATCTGATATGTGGAATCCGTGTGTCTGTTGCCTCTCATTAAACTGAAGGCTGTGGGCCGAAAAGCCAGCAGCTTATGCTGAGGTCTAAGGAGGTGTAGCTACATCAACACCTAGCTCCTATAAGTACCACCAGGTGAGATAACCTGGTGAAGAATTGGCAGGCTGAAGCTGAACCTGGTCACAGGTTTTCGTGATCATCAGAAGAGATTTTGATGAAGTCACAAACATGATACAACTACTACTGTTTGGAAACACCCACTTAAGATTGCTCAACTAAACCAGTAGCATAGGAACATGCTTTGATTTATTACTGACACCAGTTCTATTACAATCTACAATTAACGCATTCTGTCGTGGATGGTTAGTTTAAAGACTGTCCCATTCTGACAGTGCCTAGCCTCAGGTTGTATACACTGCAGTAATACAGCATTCAAAACTTCCCTTAGGAAATCTTACCTTCTGTAAAATACAGCAGCAAGAACAGGATCAAACATTTCCTCCCATTTCATACTGTCTTCGGCATTAAATTTTATATTGAGTGCCTTAGTATTTTCAGTTGATCTATGGCCTGGATCCGTGACAGCTAAAAGCTCATGGGATGATAGCTTTGACAGCTTGCGTGCCTCTGGCCCAACAGAAGCGTCAAGTAATGCTCCTCTGAGTGAAACAAGGCTTTCCCAGAGGTCAGTCCCAGAATGCAAAAGGCACTCCCAAGAGTTTAAACACAACGCACTGCCTCGGGTTCCAACTGCGAGATGCATTTCTTTGCCCTCTCAAGCATAAAAACGCAGCAGCAAAGCCGATGTATATGAAATGACCGAAACAATGCGTTCCACACGGTTCCCCCTCTGGGAGGAAGGGGAGAAGATAAAGAGGTGAGTCATGTTGTTTACTGCTGTACAGGAAAATGGTTAATGGTTGGAAACTGATGAGCGAGATTGGAAAACCTGAACAGACTAGAAATGAACTTGCTTCTTTTCTCATTATGTTCTGAGGATACCTTTTTGTGATAGATTATAAGCCAAGCATGTATTGGCAAGTACTTTAATTGGATGATTTGTCATCATAAAATATTTTCTAAAGATGCTATCTAGGTTTGCTTCAGGTGTTTTAAAAAAAAGATAAATACAAATACTTTCTTTTAAAAGTATATGCCCAGTCAATCCCTGTCTCCAGGACTTACAAACACCAACAGAGCTAATAAGTATCTGCAGTGCAATGTGGTAAAATTCTGCATGGTGTTTGCTCCAAATTCAACATTTCCGTAGGCCTAGACTGTATTCCATTATTTTCTGGGTATTTTAAATCTCTGGACCTACTTACTTTCATTTCTGGCTAAACATAGGCAAAATGTTTATTTAGAACTATGTATTGTGTTCAATTCTACTTGCTTTGTCCCTCCTTGACTATTTTGCAGAAAGAATATAAAACAGAGCAGTCACACACACCACACACACCCCCCTGCACACTCTCTTTATGAGCTGCTTCATTTCAAAAAAGAAAAAAAGAGAAAAAAGTTTATCTCGCGTTAGTCAGGTACTGTAACAACAGTTTCAGGTCCGTGGCTGAAAAGCAACGTAGCAATGTGGTGAGAAAGAGAAGGTAAGTAGAAGCTGCAGTACTCTGGACAGTTTTCATCTCGTTATTGTCCTGCAGCATGCGAGGTGTGGAGGCAAGGAACAACTTCTTAGCGCTGGAGCTCTGTAGGATGTTTGTCTGCAATGCTGGAGCCACAGGGGCCGTGCTTGGTGTTGACAGTGTTACAGGTGCAGTTCTAGGATGAGCTGGTGTTTTGTTTGTCAGTGTGGTGCTTTTCCTGACGCTTTTGTAAAGGTGGTGGCGTGAGACGCCTGAAGATTGCCTCTGCTGATGCTTTTTTGACTATGCAAAATAGGAACTTTATCTCCAAAGGTTAGCAGAGCTCAGTAATCGTTCTAGGGAGGTGAAGCAATGTTGTTTAACTCTAGAAGATACAATATATGGATCATGTTCAATGTCATCTTCATTTGGGTACACTACCCAGTACTGCTGTCATCGCTACCAAGGTCAAAGAGTCTCTGTTGGGCAGCTGCGAAGCTTTTTTAGAAGCAACTAGCAGAGCCAGTTGCAATTTTGGTATTTGCTTTGGCCTTCGTTCTTGCGTCTCGTGGATACCTGGGCCCGGTTTCTGTTCCGTGATGCTGGGCTCATTGCCGATGCGAATAATTCTTGGTATTCCTAAGGAACAGCAGGCAGCTCGTATGTACTGCCTTTGCGACGTGTCTGTTGACTAAAGTGTATGATCTGTGACACATACACGCACACACACACACACACACATATATATATAAAAAAACAAAAGTGTATGTAGATATACACAAAAAGCATATGTATGTATACTCACACACGCCAGGAGCAGGCTCTTTAGCCAAAGCTTTTTGAAAAGTTATCAGAACTGTTTGAACTACTTAATTCAGCGCTTTTTAAAAAAAAAAAAGTGAAATACATGAACCAAAAGCTTTGACCCCTTTTCAGATGGCGGCTGAGGAAAACGCAGGGAGGTTACGGGCCTTTACTTATGGGTTACTGTGGGATCATAAAGGAAGGAGAGTGCGCAGTATATAGCCTTCTACAAGGAGAAATCCCAAAACAAACGGGCAATCTAGCAAGAGCCCTTCGGTGAGGAGGTAACCTCACCAAAAAGCAGTTTTAGGCTGGAGAGTTCAAGGGCATCGTACAGTTTTTACCCTGGAAGAGCAGAGTCCTCCCTCAGGGGTACAGCGCCCAGGACGGCTCCGTCCTGCTCAGGAAACACGGTTTGGATTCATTTAATTTCTGCCTTGTCTGACTCCCTCAATCTGCTTACCCAGCCAATTCTTGGTTAAACGGGCAGCTGCCACTCGTGTGGCAAAAAAAGGAAAAAGAGGCTAAAAAGGTGGAAGTCTGTCTGTCTGTCTGCAGCGAGAACCCTGGCAAATGTGCCTCTAGAGCAAGAGCAGAGCCTGTCGTGTCCGGGAAGAAAGCTGGTGCGGGAGCCAGGGCGCATGCAGTGCGCGCAGGGGACTGAACGTTCACGTTGGGTGCGGTCTTGTTGTTGAAATGCCTTCTTTAAAATGAAGACAAATACTTGCCAGGGGTTGGTGCTGCAAAGAATAGGTTTATGAAGTTATTGCTACTTGTTTTCCAACTAAGAGGACAGAGGTTTGGGGGCTTTTTGTTTGTAGCACAGTTGGTTCGCTCTTGCTGACTAAGTACATACCTTTGCGCTGCTAGAAACATGTACAGGCATTTTCACAAGTATTTTTTTTATTATAGATTCCTCTCTGCAGCTTTTATTCAGCTAAATGTCAGTGCAGAGTGGCTATTGTAATGAATCAGTTGCTAGCATGCAGATACAGTTATTTCTTCTGCTAAAATCAAAAAGATGCTTTTGCAGAGTATGTTTTATCAAAAGGCATTAACTTTGCATTTCATAGCAAAAATTCCAAAGCCCCTAACTCTTATCCCAGAACAGGTTTAAATAAAGGTAATCCACAAAGGATGGTTAGCATAAATTACATTCTTCAAAGTTAAATGCTCTATAAAACGGAAAGCTAATCCTTGAAGCTAACTTTTATTCTGGGTGTTGAGTCAAGAGGGGTTCATCTGAACAGGTTTTCTTCATATTTTTTATAGGTTATCCACTACTATGTATGCTTTTAATAAAAACGTGGTGGCTGTAATCAACTAGCATCCACTTTGTTTTGAAGTCCCATTTAATCCAGGGTTTAACTGATGAGAGGCCTTGTATGTTTGGTTTCAGCCATCTTGTCATTTATTTAACTGACAGTCTGACTCAGAAGACTTTTCATCTTTACCACGATTGCACAAGGACAGGAAATGTCGAAGTCTTGAAACTGTGGCAACTTACGTAAGTTCAGGTGTTTCATAATCCCTTAGCCCAGAAGCGTACCCTTCTGCCACCGCGAAGAGAGGACTGTCGGCCTCTCAAACACGTAACTGCTTTCAGCCCTGGGAGGCTGCAAGACAGTAGGAACTTTTAAAACCTTATGTTGTTAAAGCCCTTCAGCACTAGCGCCTCACAAACTCTCTGGGCATTGCTGGTTTGGTTTTCTTGTTCATGTACAAATTTTGTGATTCTCTCCCAGCTTTACACAATGAACTGGCAACAAGGAGTAAGGATTATCGTCCTTAGACGTAAAGTGATTGAAGTGGCAATTCCAGTAGCGTACAAGAACTTTTAAGCATAAAGGTCATCATAAAATTGAGTATTTGTTACTTGTTGCTGCATCTTTTTTGCCTCAGACTTGTGGGAATTTTGTGTTCTTCTGTTGTGTGAGACAAAATCCATTTCCTACTATAGTCTGCAAACGTCACCGAACACTTTCCTTGCTGTGCGAGAACTGTGGCTGTTGGCGATGCCCTTGGTCCCTGCCTGCTCTGGTAGCTCGTAGTCTTTAAACGGGATAGCAGGTTGCTAGGAGAGGCTGGGGGGTTTAGCAGCAGCCTGGGGCGTGTGGACTTTCAAACTCAACGTCTCTTGCGTCCTTGCCTGAAACCGCAGAGGATCGAGCCTGACGATCCACTCGGCTGTTTCTGGGTCAGTTGTTTGGCTGGTTACTGTTCTAAAGTACAAACAGCGTTGTTGCACTGTTTGTATCGTACTGCACAGGCCCCTACCAAATGCTTTAAAGCAACAGTTTTGGATGACCGCTGATGCACCTACAACTTGGTTACTTACACATAGTAGCTTGTAAGAGTATTTATTTTTCTTCAAATTTCTTTGTAGACATTTTACTATGTTCCTGTCCACCCTGAACATACAACCCTGACCTAAGAAGGGCTGAATGAGATGAGTAAGAGCCAGCCCTTTCCCCTTGCTGTGCTGCAGTAGACTCTGGTTAGGAAACAGCTGTAAATGGACTGTCTAGTTTGTCTGAAGTGTAAGTAATTTATTACCTCTGGGACAGGAGGCAAATATTATCTTCATCTTACAGATGGTGGAATTAAGACACAGATCTAGTTTCACAACTGTAGCTAAAATTCAGGTTACACATTATTTTACATTAAATTCAGATCAGTTACTTTTTTGCATTAGAAACCATCCAGAACAGCACTGCACCTAAACTTGAAAAATCATTTGATTTATTTGTTATATTTACACATTTGTCTTTAAGCTAAAATTTTAACTTTTTGGAATGTTTTTGTGTAATCAACTCTAGTTTTAGCCCTTCACACCTTTTTGATATTTAACAAGTATTTTAATGAAAGTAATTTGTTCCCTTAGCCCAGTGTGAAGTTCAACTATACAAAGTGCCTAGAAAAGCATTCAGCTCAGTAATCGGTCACTTCATATTTCTTTCAAATCTTTCTTAAGTCTTGTAATAAATAAAGACTAGTATCAACATGACAATGCTGGTTTTTTTCAAATTGTTCATTTGCCAGTTTTAACAAGATAAAGAGAAGAAATGAATACTTAATGTGGACATTGTTTTACCAAGAAAAAAGAGAGAAGAGATAAACCAAACCCCCAAAACAAACGGACAAAAAGAGGGACACAAAGGAACACACATGGAATGATGAAAAGGAACAATGATATTGCACAACTTCAGGTCTCTCTTCCCAGATTTTGATCCATGTAATTAGGTATGTATGAACTCAGCAAAAAATTGCGTCCAGATAAACATGTAGCAATTTGAGTGAATCTCTAGAACTGCAGACTGCTTTCGATTCCTTCTGACTGCTACTTGGAGTTCTTCTCTAAGAGAGTAGGTTGCTGTCAGCTGCAGGAATAATAAATAAATCAACATACTGATTCTACATTTTGCTGACAACCCTTCAAAAATTATTCATAACATGCACAATTCTTCTATATTGTAAATACACCAAGTCTTCAAAGTATTTGGGTCTTTAAACACAAGTTGTTGTATCAAGTACTCAAACTGTACGTGAAAACCAATCAAGAACTTTCCCTGATTTGTTGTGGTTGAGATTGTATCTCATTTTGCAACACCAGGACTTCTCAATGCATCAGCTTTGGGTTGAATGTACAAAAGTCACAGTAGAGGGTATCTTAAGGAGGGGAAAACAAAACAAAAACCCACCAAATAAAAACATGGTAAGTGGATACAAGGTCTTTACAGCTAGCATCTTTGCTAGACCATCTCTTAACAAGCACATACTGTTTGCTACAGAGATTAGCTAATTGTGTCATTCTGGCTACAGCAGTACTGTTTTCCCCCTCAACTGCTAGTATGACAGCCTCTGTTTATATAATTTTTGCATTTATGTGCAGAACAAAATATTTTTCCCATATCTGACTTCATATCTGCTCAGTGGACTGATGTGTCAGCCAGCAGGGCTTAAGAGATACATTTAATACAGGAGACTGAGATACAGTATGTTTATTCTTGACTTCTGATAACCTAAGGACTACAAGAACAAGAGATGCAGTATCCATTTGCTATGATCAGAGACAACCATTTTTAGGGAGAAAAAAGTAGAATAAGTGATCAACACTAACACTACATTAGTTCCAAATGTGGGGTTTTTTCAGTCAGGGTAGCTTAACTATTTTTCATCTGGACCACTTTTAACCTGATCAAGTTAAAAGTGACAAAGTTTAAGGACTGTTATAACTTGCTTCAGTTTTGATGAAATAAGAACCATGAAACCATAATTTCACTGTAGGACTTGTTTCGTATCTTCATATTCCGCACCGCGTTTAGAAAAGGGATAATGCATCTCAGTTTGCTTACAAGCTAGGAGAGATCACTTTGAAGTCTGCATATTCCTAACTGCAAACAAAATATAGCACTTTTAACAGGTTATAAATAAACTGGTTTTCAAGCATAGAGCCAGCCCAACAATAACAATACACTATTAAAAAGACCTAAGGCAATGAATTCCATCTCCAATGGAAAAAAAAAAAGAAAAAGAACTGTGCAAACAAGCTTAAAACTATTTCTTTGTGCCAGTGTTATAAAATGTAGATTTCAATAAAGCCTTGACCCAAATGCCAGGACTTGTGAAAAGAATCAGAACAAAACTGGTTACTTTATTCAGGAAAAAAAAAACCTTACCTTGCTGCTAATAAAATTGAATACACGCAGTTTAAACATTTACAGTTGCTGTAACACTTTACACAATTCCTATATATGGGTGTAAGAACAAACATTAAAAGACAATGGTGGGTCAAGGCTTTACATTAAAAATAACAACCTACTTTTTCTATAGTCTCTAAAATACTATTTTTTCCAATATTTGCAGCCATTCAGGAATATTTTTTTTTATTAGGAAATGTATACTTTGTGCATGATCTTAATTCCTAATTCCTGGCTCTTTGGGCTGAATGACAAAAGGATCAAACCCATTAAAGTGGATGGTCTCCTTGAAGGTTCAGTGGAGAAACCTTGGCTCAGTTAGTCTCATATGATGAAAGCAGTGCTGCATCCACTGGCTCCATGCAGGATGGACAGGTGAAGGATCTCATCAACCAGTCATCTATACAGTCCAGGTGGTAAATGTGCATGCACGGCAGAAATCGGATAGGGTCCCCATAAACAAAGTCCATCATACAAATGACACATCTGCGGGGGGAAAAAAAAAGTCATAAAAATATTAAAGCTGCTGTTACCACACTGGAAGTGAAAAGCAGCGTAATATCTACTCCTGGATACGTTTGAGTCAAACCAACTTTTAGTACTAGTAGATGCTGTGAGGAGTTCTTAGCTCTGTCGGTGCTGGCTCCGCCAAGCACTCGGGGGTTTTGGCATTTCCTTTGTAGTATGTGCCCACAGTTAGCGAGGGCAGGACGCCTTCGGCAGGCATGGTGGGGGCAGCTCAGCAGAGTGCATAAAATTAGAAACGGTGAAAGGGAGCCATAAAGGTGAGGGAGTAACATGAAATTATTTCCCTGTGAAGAGAAGATAAAAAGCAGGGGAGGGAAACCAATTTATCAGGGCATGAATTACATGGATCAGAAAGCAACTTTCACCTGTAACAGGAAAACAAGCAAGGATAAAGGAAGAAGCCTTTTGCATCGTCTTTTTGGTGGGGTTTTGGTTTTTTTTCAGAAAGCTACATTAAATTACAGTCCCTGAAAATACAGCAAAAACAGGAAGATGAGATCGAGTTTGCCAAGGCAAGAGCATAAACCAGTGCAACAGCCACATCAGTTCAGTTTCTGTAACTTACTCTCTGATCTTCTTCTCGGAGCCGTCTCTTCCAGGATCATAGACTCCTTTAGGTAGGTGCTGAATAAGGCCTATCCTCTGCGCTATTCTGATCTGTTCCTCTTCTGTCAGCTGTGTTGCTAGCCGCGTCTGGCTAGGAGTCGGGTGATAAACAGGAACAGGGACCTGCTCCTAAAATTAAAATATTTCCGTTAAAAAAAACACAAAGGCTTTCCTACCATTTTGGAGCACAGTACAGGCAATGTATTTAACTTCTCTCTTAGTCTGCAAATGCTTGTAGTATCTCCTACTCCTACTTTGCAATTTTGGGGCTACAATTATATTGCAGATGGGGTAAAGAATTGGGGCCAGTATCTTGAGCAAGGAGCTGCTCGTGGTCGTTCTCTGCAAAAGCTTTTTATCTCCAGGAACCGTTCATACATGAAATATGTGTACAACACACTCCACACGACAGCAGGCAAATGAACCTTACGGGCACCACGTGAACTGCTAAGATACCAAACTGAACAACGTAATGGCTGAGGAAAAGCCCCCGGTATTTCCAACAATAAGTAGATTTTTTTTTTTTACGGTTAGGAAGATGAGGACAGTGCCTATTCTGAAGAGTTTCAGAGAGAGGAAGGTTTTATTGGTTCTGTAATAACTAAGATTTATGTGAGCTGTTCTGGGCCACAGAAGCGCCAATCCAGAACTGTAGGTTTCATTCTTGCCTGTTTAAAAAAATGTCACCCGGACAATAAAAAGAACAGCTTAGGTACGTAGTCCAGGTTTTACATTTGTCCTCGTACATTAATACGATTTTACACGTTCTCCCAAGCTAGACTTCAACTGCTCTATGTTTAAAGTACATATTTCCCAAACAAAAAAATAGGCAACATGGAGGTATTATGCAGTCCTTCCTCTGCCAGGTTCTCAGAAGCTTCTTTTGAATATTAACAAACTTTAGATCAGATACTTTCACTAACATTTATATTAATGTGGTACTTACTTTACTTGCTTTTAAAGCACTTTTTTGGACGTACCAATTTTGAACAGGAGATACTATTGGGACAGTACTGGCCCGTCACCACAAATCCACTGTTAATAGGGAGACCATTTCTTGCAATCGGCCAATTTTAATGGCACTTCTTAAAAAGCAGAAAAAATTCAACTTACAGATGTGCTCTGAAAATAAACCTGGTGCATCAGAGACACAATAGCATCAATTCACCTGTCTGAAAAGCGCGCAAGTTGATGTTTCAGAGGACACTGCCGCAAAACAAGCGGGCGGCAGGAGCGCGTGCAGCTGCGCCGCAGGAAGCGCTGATCACACATCACCTCCGACAAAGGTCCCCTGGCCAGACTCCTGCTCGCTCCTCTCTGCTGCGG